TCCCCACCTCCCCAACTCCTCCCTCCCCCAGCTCCCGAAGTTGTAAAGTTCATTTTCAACATAGACTACACAGTAATCTTAAAGGCAAGTCCTTTTATTTTCTTGAAACAGGGTTTTGTATATACCAGACTGGCCTGGAATTCTCAATCCTCCCACTTTAGCCTCTCAGGTGCTGGGGACTCCAGATGTGTGCCATCATACCTTGCTTTTCCTTATTCCCTTCCTACTTTTTGTCCTAGATTTTAGAAAATACATTTTCATTTCTTTTTCCATATAACTTTTGAAATCATTTTAGTTAGGAACTAAGATCTAAGAAATCCTTCAAACTAATTTACCTACTTCTATAAACAAGGTGATGAAACTGCAGTGCTAGTATACATTATTAATGTTGGTAGGCTTCTTATTTCTATAATGTTAAATCTTCCCATCTAGGCATGTTGTATCTCAGTTTATTTGATTTTTATGCCTTCTGTAAGGTTTTACTCAAGTTAAATTCGTGCTGTTAAGTTTAGTTACTAATCATGTTCATTCTCATTCCTGATTTTTGTTATTGGAGAAAATATAAGGAGCAATTTAGCCAAAATTTCTTAAGGTATTTTTCTGCACTCTATTGATTCTTCTTTCTTTTTCTGTCCCTCCCTCCCTGCCCCCCTCTCTCTTTGTTGGTAATGGGGACTGAACTCTGGGCCTGGGCGCCGTCTCTCAGCTCTTCAGCTCAAGGCTAGCGCTCTACCACTTGAGCCACAGAGCCACTTCTGGCTTTTTCTGCTTATGTGGTGCTGAGGAATCGAACCCAGGGCCTCATGCATGCAAGGCAAGCACTCTACCACTGAACCACTTTCCCAGCCCCTCTCTCTCTTTCTTTCTTTCTGTCTCTTTCTTTCTTTCGTTCTCTTCCTTTTTTCTCTTTTTTCCCTTTCTGTCTCTCCCTCCCTCCTTCCCTCCTTCCCTCCCCCCCTTCTCTGTGCCAGTATTGGGGCTTGAACTGAGGACCTCAGCACTGTCCCTTTTGCTTTTTGTTCAAGATTGGTGCTCTGCCTCTTGAGCCATAGTTCCACTTCCAGCTTTTTTTTTTTTAAATTGGAGATATGGATTTCAGGACTTTCCTTCCTGAGCTGCCTTCAAACTGTGATCCTAAGATCTCAGCCACTGACTCTATTGATTGTTTCTTTTGATGTTTTTTCTGAAATCTCATGGACAATCTTGATTGTTTCTTCTGATAATATTTTTTTTGAAATATCGTGGACAATCTTGTTTCTTCTGATGATATTTTTTCTGAAATATCGTGGACAATCTTACCTCTTTTAATACTTGTATAAATTCTTCATTTACTCTAATTTCAGTCTCTTGCATGCAGATAACTAGTTTTCACATCATTGTTTGTTGAAGAGGCTGTCAGTGTATATACTTTTGGTTCATGTTAAGTCCAACTGGCATTATTTAATTCTAAGGTTTCTCTGTTGGCTTTGTATTTAGATAACAGTTGAGAGTGGGGTATTGAGGTTTCCCACTATCATTGTGTTGGGATTTGTGTAATAAAGTCAGATGTACTAATGTTTGGCTTATAAAAAATTCTTCATCTACTTGCGCTAAATGGAATTTCATAAAACATTTAGTGATAGTGATGGATGATGTCTCTAGCTTGAAAGGGATTTTGATAAAATTGACTTGGCATTTTTCTCTTTACTAGTTACTTCATTGTGCCTTCTTAGGTTGACTTTTGCTCTGAGGACAGTAGCTTTTGTAACTGAATTTGAAGTATGTATGTATGTATGTATGTGAAGCATGTATGTATGTATGTGAAGTATGTATGAAGTAACCATCTTCATCTCTAGTAATTCTTCTTGACCTAAGGCTATTATTCTATTTAGCAATAATAGAGCCACAACCAGCTTTCTTTCCATTAAAAAGCATGCTTCCTAGTTTTCTGAATCTGCCTGTGCCTTAAAAGTGTCTCCTGAAAGAAGGATGTACGGTTGGAGCTAATCTAGACTGCCAATTTTAGTAGTTCACTTGATGAATCCAGGTCATTTACACTTAGCATAATTAATGGTGTGTGTGTATGTATGTGTGTGTGTGTGTGTGTGTTGTGCTGGTCCTAGGACTTGAATTCAGGGCTAGGGTACTGTCCCTGAGCTTTGTATTCAGGGCTAGTGCTCTACCACTTTGAGCTACAATGCCATTTCCAGCTTTTTTTGTAGTCAATTGAAGATAAAAATTGTCAGTGATTTTCCTCCCCAGGCTGGCTTTGAACCACAACCCTTAGATCTCAGCTTCCAGAGAGTAAGAAGGATTCTAGTCATGAGCAACCAGTGCTTGGCTGTACTTTTTTTTTTTTTTTAGATATACTAACTTAGTAGAATTTTTTACCCACCTGTGCTGCTCATTTTATGTCTATTTTCTCCTTTTCTTGCCTTTAAACATTACAGAACTTTATTTTTTCTATTATTTTTGAGTAACATTAGTTATATATTCTTTTTTTTTTTTTGGTCCGGTCGTGGGGCCTGAACTCTGGGCCTGAGCACTGTCCCTCAGCTCTTCAGCTCAAGGTTAGCATTCTACCACTTGAGCCACAGCGCCACTTCCGGCTTTTTCTTTTTGCTTATGTGGTGCTGAGGAATCGAACCCAAGGCTTCAGGCATGCAAGGCAAGTGCTCTACCACTGAGCCACCTTCCCAGCACCTAGTTATACATTCTTTTAGAGATTACCTTAAAGATGATATGTCCTTGCCTTATTAAAGTCTTAGTTCTAACACAGATGCTTGTGATGTTTTTGTTTACTTGTTTACCAATTTCTTCATGATACTACAAGCCTAAAACACTTCACCAACATTTACCCCTCTTCTGCTTTCTGTGCTATTGCATTTTTGTCCTATATATATTTAAATCTCTACAAGATATATCATTGTTGTTTTGAATAAGCAGTGTTTTTGTATTTATCCATAGTTCACCCTTATTGGAATTTTTTTCTACACTTGCTGCCCTTTTGAATAATTTTCTTCCTTCCTGAAAATCGTGCTTCTTCCCCTCTCCTTTTCTCTCCCTCTCTCCCTCTTCTCCTTCTCTTTCTTCTCTCTCTCTCTCTCCCTTTTCCTCTCTCTGGTCTGCTGGCAATTAAGCCATTCAGTTTTTGTTTCTTTGAGATGATATTGTTTCATCATTCTTTTCTTTTAAAAAATTGTTTTTGTGCTGGTCATGGGGCTTGAACTCAGGGCCTGGGCATGGTCCCTGAGCTTTTTTGTTCAAGGCTCTACCACTTGAGCCACAGTGCCACAGTGCCACTTTCAGCTTCTTTAGTGCTTAATTGGAGATAAGCCTCTCCTGGACTTTCCTGCTTAGGCTGGCTTCTAACCACAATCCTTAGATCTCAGCCACCTGAATAGCTAAGATTACAGGTGGAAGCCACTGGCACCTAACTCACCATTATTTTTGTATTGGAATTTTAACTTTCATTTTTATATATGCTTTGACAAATGTATATAGTCATATAACCACAACAATCAAGATTTAGAATATGTCATTACTCTAGCACATCACCCTCTTAGACATACAGTTCTAAGTAACTTTTTTTCTGTGGTGTTTTTAGAGACACCACCCTATTATCTTCTGGATTCTTTCGTTTTCATTAAGAAGCCATTGGAGATTTAATACTGACCCTTAAATGTAGGGTGTTTTCTTTTGTGGATGCTTTAAGATTTTTCTCCTTGTGCTTGATTTTTGGCAATTGGACTAATGTATCTAGATGTGAATTTTTTTAATAATAAAATTGTGTTTTTGTTTGCTTTCTCAAGAACATGAACTTCTGATTGGTTTAGGCCTTTTTGTTCAGTCTGTGCCAAGATCAACAGATGTCCCTAAAAATATAATCATTTATATTCTCTCATCTCCAAGAGATGCTTCCTTCTGGAATTTTTTCACAGCCCTTCTTTCTCCAGTTTTCTGATTTCTTGTAGAATGTAATTTTGTTTTGTATTGTTTTGTTTTTGTCAGCCATGGGGCCTGAACTCTGGGCCTGGGCGCTGTCCCTCAGCTCTTCAGCTCAAGGCTAGCACTCTACCACTTGAGCCACAGACCCACCTCCGTTTTTTCTGCTTATGTGGTGCTGAGGAATTGAACCTAGGGGCTCAAGCATGCAAGGCAAGCACTCTACCACTGAGCCACCTTCCCAGCCCCTAGAATGTAATTTTTAATAATTTATTTGACTCTCCCAGTGTTATACTAGAGACTTTAACCTACCATAATCTATTTTATACTAACCAGAAGAGCAAATCTAAAACTTCTTCCTTTAATCTCTATTAAGGGTAGGGGGCAGATTTTGAATGAAATAGTAATATTGAACAAATCACAGAAATTCAGTATTGGGGTTTTATTCATCCATTGATGTGATACAAAAAATTTCTATAGACTAGCTGGCTTGGCACACATCTGTTATCCCAGCACTTGAGAGACTGAAGCAGGAGGATGTTGACTATGAAACTAGCCAGGCTATATAAGAGATCCTGTCTTTAAAATAGCAACAGCAACAAAAAGTAGATGTTGATAGACTATCCTCAAGTCATCATTCAGCTTTGAATACTATCAAGTAAAGTTTGTCATACTTTCTAGGATTCAATCTAGAAAACTATCTGTTGTAATAGTTTCCCTTATTCTAAGACTCTCCATAAAGTAAAAGCAAAATCTGTTCCTCTACAATTTTGTGGTGCTATAACGATAGAAGATCTGTGTCTTCACAGATTAACCATTTCCTGAATGTGTCTGTATCATGAGTCTGTCTTCCTCTGTGCCTGTCACTTCGTCTTTATTCTATGCTATGTTTCTGCCAACCCATACCAATCATGTACTGTTAAGCCAGAAAATAAATAATCTATTACTTTACAATTCATAGATTTCTTTTCCCAGTGTAGAAATAAAAGTAAATAAGCATCAAATCAGGAGCACTTTTATATTCAATCTGCCTGAGCTACAACCATGTAATAACTTCTATTCACAGCCTAGAAGAAATGGATTCTTTCTGCCTCAATGACACTGGCTCCACCATAGAGAACAAGGCTATGGAGGGAATCATCTCACCAATGACCACTCAACTTTGCCACCTGCTCATCTCAATGGAGAGGAAAGTTATACACAATGATGTATTTGCCTCTTTGGAGATGATGGCAGCTGAACTGACAAATGCTAGTGAAGAGTTTGTGCAAGTTGCCCACAGGTAATTCTTTCAAAGAGCCTAAGCCCACTTTCTGAAAAATTGGCAACAGAAGGAACATGTAACTCAAGTTTCATGGTTGTCTTAAATGCCTTTGGAAAGAAGTCACATGGGAAAACCCAAATTGATAAAATATAAAACAAATCATTTAAATGACTTAAAGTACAATTTAAGAAATAGTTCTTACTGGAAACATTTGCTTAGAAACAAAACTTAAATTATTAAAATGTATTCAATCTTCTTAATACTCAATTTTGTGTGTGTGTATGTGTGTGTGTGTGTGCCAGTTCTGGGGCTTGAATGCAGGGCCTGGGCACTGTTCTTGAGCTTTTTTGCTCTAGTTAGTACTCTATCATCTGAGCCATTTCTGGATTTTTTTTGTGCTTAATTGGAGATAAGAAACTCACAATAATTATTAGAAACAAGAGTCTCGCTGCCTAAGATGGCTTTGAAGAACAATTCTCAGATCTCAACCTACTGAGTAGCTGGGATTACAGGTATGAGCTGCCTGGCCAATTCTTTTATCAAAGAAATGAAAATTAAAAGGATACCATAGTTGACTTAACATCTTGGCAAAAATGAAGAAGAATGATAATATAAAGTGTTGTTGGGTTGGGGATGTGGCTTAGTGGTAGAGTGCTTGCCTAGCATGCATCAAGCCTTGGGTTCGATTCCTCTGTACCACATAAACAGAAAAAGCCAGAAGTGTCACTGTGGCTCAAGTGATAGGGTGATAGCTTTGCAAAGAAGCTCAGGGACAGTACCCAGGCCCTGAGTTCAAGCCCCAGGACTGGCAAAGCAAAAAAAAAAAAAAAAAAACTTTAAAAAAAAAAGTGTTGTCACGCCAGGCACTGGTGGCTCACACCTGTAATCCTAGCTACTCAGGTGGCTAAGATCTGAGGATTGCAGTTCAAAGCCCGCCCAGGCAGGAAAGTCCATGAGACTCTTATTTCCAATTAACCACCAGAAAACTGGAAGTGTCATTATGGGTCAAGTGGTAGAGCATTCACCTTGAGCTGAAGAGCTCAGGACAATGCCTAGGCCCAGAGTTCAAGACCCATGACCACCACCACCAACAACAAAAAGTGTTGTCAGACATGGGTCATCTTTATACATTGATAAAATTTTATTTGATGGCACTTTAAACTTCTGAAAAAAGTAGAAAATGACTTAATTTCCTAGTAAACTACAACACAAGCCTGTGGTGAAATGAAAAACTGAATGTGAATGCTTAAAAGGTTATAGGTGATCATCTGCTGATTAAGAAATAGGTTTACAGTATTGTGTTACATGGGCAAATGAAATGCCAACACGTCAATGCTTATATAGAGCTAGAAATTATGCTGACAGACATGCAACAGATTTTAACAGTAGTTACCACGTTCTTTCCTTCCCTTCTATTCCTATCCTCAGGTCTTTTCAAAGTTTATCATTACACATTAAATATGTAATTAGAAAACATGTAATTTTAAAATAAATAATCCTAGCTATTCAGGAGACTAAGAGTTGAGGATCACCCTTTGAAGCCAGCTTGAGAAGAAAGGTCTGCATGACTCCATTTACAATTAGCCAACAAAAAGTCAGATTGCAGGTATGGCTCAAGTGGTAGAGCTCTAGCCATAATATAAGGTTCCAAGTTCAAGCTCCAGTACTGGCAGAAAAAAAGTAAATAAAATAGGAATTAAAAAACATAGTTAGGCTTCTAGGGAATTAATGTTGATACTAACTCATAATGAGGAATCAGCAATGTAGCAGGATATAAAAAAACCTTTAGAAATTAACATCTTCACTGGTATAAAAACAGTTAAATTGCAAGAAAGAAAAGAACATCTTAGGGATAAATTGAATGAACTACAAAATATATGTGAGGAACTCATCAATACACTGCTAAGAATATTATAAAAGTAAAATAAAAGACCCAGAGTAAATGTTCTTATAGACCTCAATATCTTAAAAATATAAATTCTATCAATTAAATGCAATACTATAAGTATGACATGAACTTTTTTAAAATGTAGGTTGCAAAACTGATACTAAAGTTCATATGAAAAAAATCCAACATTCAAGAATTACTAGGAAAACCTTGAGATTAAAAAAAGTATAGGTGGACTAGCTTTCAGATATCAAAACTCAATATTCAGACAAGCATGGTAAGGTATACCTGCCATCCCAGCAGAGGAAGTATGAGGCCATCCTACACTACATACAAACTCTGAGTCTATCTGAGCTACACAGAATTAATGTTGCAAAGACTGGAGATGTAGTATAGAAAAGTCCCTATATACCCTGCATAATGAAGTTAGTGTCACATGAAGAGACAGTAATAAGAGTCAAACCAGAATTGCAACTTCAGTTCAGGCAATGTTAGAGCCTATCTGAAACAAAACAAAACAAACACCAAATTACACACACACACACACACACACACACACACACACACACACACACAGAGGTAGAGGTAGAATGGCCAGTAGAACAGGCAGGGTGAACTTAACAAAATCTTCCAGTGGAATAAGAAACCCTAGAGTAATACATACAATGTCAAATGGTTAACCAGCTTACAAGTGCATTGTGTGTGTGTGTGTGTGTGTGTGTGTGTGTGTGTGTGTGTGTGTAGGTAGGAGGTTTGTGGTTTAAGGTCACTCCTAAGCAAAGAACATGAAAATCTATGAAAAATAATAACAGAAGTGAATAAGGTTGAGAGTATGTCTGGCTCTGAGTTCAAACCCTAATGCCCTTAAATAAAAGGAATTGAGAATGAAGAAGAGCCTTATAACTGATCTGAATACAATGTTATTTGAAAAACCAAAGTGTATCCAGATTATACAGGCTCTGTGGTAGCTGCTGTGATGACTACCAGGATTTCATTTGGAAACAAAAGGAAGTTCTGTCAGCCCTGTTGTGATGTCAGTCTCTTGTGTAGTCTGCTATAGCTGTAGAGAACTGTCTCTGGGCACAATAGCTCACCCCTGTAATCCTAGTTATTTAGGAGATGGAAATTAGGAGGATCTCAGTTTGAGGCCAGTTTGGCCAAAAAAATTTAAGACACCCTATTTCAACCAATAAAAGAGCTGGATATGATAGTATGCACCTTTCATCCATGCTACACAGAAAGCATAAATAGTTACATCATGAACTAAATCAGAGGCAAAGAATGAGACCCTAGTTGAAAACTAATGAAAGGAAAAATATCTGGGACTGGGACTCCAGTGGTAGAGCACCTGACTAGCAAGTGCTAGGCCCTAAGTTCAAAGAAAAAGGAACTATCAGATAAATTCATGCTTACATATCTTTTTGCCTATATCAATGTTTAGGTATGCACACATACCTTGCTCTGTCTAATGGAAAGACCCTAAAACAATGATCTTTCAATAGAGATGCTCAGACCTATCACCCAGGTCTTAGTCTCTAAGTACCATTTGACACTAAAAAGGGTCTTGGCTCTTTGAAGAAATGGCTTATTATAGAATGTGGTTAGATAAATAATAGATGAACCTGGATGCCAGGTGCTAGTGGCTTACACCTGTAATCTTAGCTACTTGGGAGACTGATACCTGAGGATCAAAGTTCAAAGCCAGCCCAGGCAGAAAAGTCTATGAGACTCTTATTTCCAACTGAGCCACGAGTGGAACTGTGGCTCAAGTGACAGAGTACTAGCCTTGAGAATTAAAGCTTAGGGACAGCGCCGAGGCCAAGTTCCAGACCCAGGACTGACACAAAAACAAAAATATAAAACTCATGAACCAAGAATAGTTTGTTTACAAAAAAGTAGGTGATAAAACAGTGGTACAAGTGAAACAAAGAAGCCAATTTGAGTAGGGCAAATTGGTACAAATATGACTCACTGTGGGATCATTTGAGCATTAAAATGAAGATTATGATAACAGATCATAAACCATTGAATAAAATAAGAACTATGGAGGCCATGCTGATAATAAACAAGAGAGGAATGAATTCTAGAAGTAGAGAAGGAATCATAGAGTTGATTACCATTTGGAAACTACCATAATAACCATTCCACATAAGACTCATCAATAGATGCTAAATTAGTGGGCAAAAGTTTAGTGAAGACCTGTAGTCTCAGCTACTTAAGGGGTAGAGGTTGGGAGAGCTGCAATCCAAATCAGCCAGGGCTGATCTCAGTCTACAAGGTGGGAGAGGTGTAATCATAGCTATGTAGGAAGCCATAGATAGGAAGATTATGGTTGGAGATTGGCCCCAGGCAAAACCATGCAACTTTACCTGAAAAATAAATAATGTAAAAGAACAAAAAGGGCTGAAGAGGCTAGGTGCCTGTAGTGTCTCATGTTTGTAATCCCAGCTACTCAGGAGATCTGAGGACCGAAGTTCAAAGCCAGCTTGGGCAGGAAAGTCCATGGGACTCTTATCTCCAATTAACCACCAAAAGCCAGACACAGAGCTGTGAAGCTCAAATAGTAGAGCTCTAGCCTTGAGTACAAAAGCACAAGGACAGCGCCCAGGCCCTGAGTTCAAGCCCGAGGACCAGCATAAAAAGGGTTGGGCACATGGTTCAAGTGGTAGAATGCCTTCCTAAAAAGCACAAGGCCCTGAGTTCAAAAACTAGTGCAGTATGGGGCTGGGAAGGTGGCTCAGTGGTAGAGCACTTGCCTTGCATGCATGAGGCCCTGGGTTCAATTCCTCAGCACCACATAAGCAAAAAAGAAAAAAGCTGGAAGTGGTGCTGTGGCTCAAGTGGTAGAGTGCTAGCCTTGAGCTGAAGAGCTGAGGGACAGCACCCAGGCCCAGAGTTCAGGCCCCATGACCGGACCCCCCGTCCTCCCCCCAAAAAAACTAGTGCAGCAAAAAACAAAAGTAAAAAAATAAACAAATCCCAAACAACAAAAACAACTCCCTCCACATAATGAAGAATAGTACATCTTTAAATAATATATATTTTAATAGTAGTATATCTATAAATAGTGCTTTTACAGAGCAGAGAACTGACACATATTGCCTTCCCCAAGAGATCGAAGTTAGCATTG